TTTTAAAGTCCACCATCTTATAATCAAGGAATCGACCGACAACAAATTTCTTTGCTCCGGCATCCTCTGTTTTATATTTTCGGTCCAAGGCTTCCCATAACTCCTTTGCCGTCGTTTTTGCACAATAGACATTGTACAATGAGTCATGTAGGCCATTCATGACATAGTTCCGACACAGGAAGTCAGAGTGCTTCCATGCTTCAACAGCGTTGAAGACTTGCTTATCCGTTTCTCCATTGGATAACTTAGGAGCTTCCTCAGTCAAGAATCTCGCAAGATTCAAGGTTGTTAAATAAAACAGCATCTTTGCTGCCACCTTTTAAAGTTCGATCCGTCGAACTTTTCAGGTTTCTCACCATGGTGGACAGAAACAGCAGAAGGAACAGAGGATGAGGCAGGCAGTTGGACAGCTGAGGCATAGGCAGAGTTTTTGGCGATGTTGTCAGCAGCCACATCGACACCATCGTTTCCGGCAGCCACATCCACGACTTCTTTACCAGTAGCCATTTGAATTTGTAAAAGCACGAATCTGTTTTAAGATTGTTTCGAAAATTCAAATCGGCATTAGCATAAATATTACAAACAATACAGTATCGTAAAGAAACGAATTTGCAATAACAAAGTTGGAATCGATACAAATGAATACCGAGGCCTGTGTTTGACACAGTTTCCTTAAAACAGATTCGCTCCCTCTAGTACGCGACCGAGGTTTCGTGAACGTCTGTCTCCCAGGATACAATGGTTGACAGCGAAGAAGAGAGCACGACACTTCCAAGCTTCCGGCGAACTTGAACAAACTCGAAATGAACACTACCGAACAACAGTGCAAATGCAGAGAGCGTGTAAAAACAGAGGAAGAATGATTTCGATAAAAATAGAACGCAGGGGAGAGCATTTCGGGAATAATAACGGCCGATTAAATCTGTCGTTAAAAAATCAATACGAATAACGGACGATTAAATCTGCCGTTATAAAATCAATACAAATAACGGACGATTAATTCTGCCGTTATAAAATCAATACGCATGGGAATAACTGTAGATTAAATCTGCCGCACGTTACGAAATTCGTAACAGTTTGAGTTGAAAATATAAATCAGAAGGCAAAATTGAGCTCGTCGCGAGGCCCACTTTTCGGTCCTGCAATCGTGTACGCGCCCAAGTTTCAACTTGTCGGGCGTCGGATTTGCACCCCCCCTGCGCCTGCGCGCGAGGCAGAGAGTTTGTGCTATGATAATTACCACTTCAAATAAGTGTAACTGTATATAAAGCACTCCATAGCCTTCTTTCTTTTCCGATGTGGGAATAGTGTTTTTCCTCTTCCCACTTCCAACTCAAGGGTGTTCTTTGAGCATCAATTTCTCATTCATTCACCCATCAATTTATCCCATATTTCCAACACATTGAACGCCCTGCCGTGATTGCCGTTGTCGACACCATTCCCTCTCTAATCACTGTGCATCTCCCTCTCTCTTTTATCTATTGCAATCTCTCGTCTCTCTCTATTTTCACTATGAAACTCCCTAACCTCCATGGACGAAGTCTATCCATGGCCACCAACAGCTCATGACCCTGTCAAGGTCGTCCATGGCCACGACGAGGCTTACAACCTTAATCATAGGTCGGCCATGGCCTGAGGGAGAGCACCAGCCTCTATTCGAGGCTAGCACTACCATGGCACAACCCCGACTGAGGCTAATTAAGAAAGAGATGGGGCTCCCAATGATCACACATGGCCACGGACATCAACATTGACGTCTCCAATGGATGACGGTAAGCTTGGGACTTCGGCATCAATGGCGAAGGGCATTGGCGGCGGTGGTCGGCTAAGATGGTTAGGGTTTAGGGTGCGGTAGGGTGGTGTGGCGGGTTATGGGTTTGTACTGGAAAGGGTTAGTTATTTTTGGAAAGTGAAATGTCAAAGTTGTAAATGGGTAGACTATTCTATTGAAGTGAGGTATGTAACTTTGTAGTTTTGAAGGAAGGGGTATGTCTTTCGTTATGAGCCGACAGCCGAAAGACGCTTTTCATATCTTTCCATACTTAACACTATAAAGGTGCGAAGGGCTTCTTGACAATCAAGTGTACTTCCTCACACTATTACGCTAGCAAACATATCCTTCCCTTTCCGAATGCTCCATTCGAATCGTTATCATTTATCGAAAGCCGTCGACTCCCGAATCCGATAATGCCCCTGTCCTCACACTTTTATCCGAGGTCAAGGAAGGGATGCCTCGCCATTTCGCCCTTCGGGACAATTCTCGAAAATCGATCGTTAAACATCGCTATTTGACGTGATGACTAAAGGGTTTAATTTCTTCTTCTTCTTTTATTTGTGAAAAAGAAGAAAATTTGGTGAATTAGAGAGGATTTTCAGCTAATAAAAGAGGGTGGCCGAATCCATCGATGATTTGGCCCTAAATGACATGCGGTGGTGGACACACCAACAGCACCAAGCAATCCAAAAGAAGGGATGAAACTTCACGATACGTCTTTTGGATTTTGAGTGAATCCAAAGGGTGTGGTGTGGATAGAAGATGAAAACACCCAATCGATGCCACGTCATCGTTTTCGAAGCCTAACGATAATGACATTTATTAAATTAAAAAAATGAAAAGAAAGAGATGTGTCACCCCCGAAAATAAAATAAAATAGAGAGAGAGAGAGAGAGAGAGAGAGAAATCTCTCTCGCATTCTGCACACGTTGCACCTAGTTGCAACCGGTGGAAGGTCAAATTTTGGTCATACAAGAAACGTTCATTCTAATTTATCTTGTCATTTTCGTCACGATATCTTTTTGTATTTTGTTTTTATTTGGGGGTACGTGTCAAAGCAAAAGCTCTTTCGGCTCAAACTTGAAAATGAATATTTGACTAGAAATATTTCATATTGTAAGCTCCCCTCTCACCATTGATTTCTAATGAACACACCATTTTGGTCCATGGGTTATTAGTAGAGTTTCAAGATAATTACCAAAAAAAGTCTTAAACCCAATGCATTTGTGTCAATTCGGTCATAAACTTTTAAATTTGGCCAATTTAGCCTTAGATCTTTTGATTATTAGCCAATGCAGTCTGTCCTGCCAAATTTGGCCGGAAATCGCTGACATAGATAGTGGCCGTCCACAGCACAACTGGTGCTAACATGGATAGTTTTTTAAAAAAGAATTTATAATATCTTTTTGATTTTTTTTAATTAATTTTTTCCCCTTTTTTTCACTATGGCTAGCAAGGGTCGCCGGAGCTTGCTAGCCACTGGGCGACACAACCTTGTCGATTGCAAGTGAAGGTGGCCTCACTTGCAACAAGTGAGGCCATGGCAAGGCTATCCTGGCCCACGACCACAATGGTCTGGGTGAGGCACTCGCCGGCTGCTAGCGAGGGTAGTAGCCCTCACCTAGTGACTGGTGAGATCCGATGACTCTCGCTGACTATAATAAAAAAAAATGAAAAGAAGGGAAAGAGAAGACTAACATATACATTAACGATTTCTGACCAAAATTGGCCAGATGAACTATATTGGTAAATTGCCAAAATGTTTATGATTAAATTGGCCAAATTGAAAGGTTTAAGACTGAATTAGTATAAGTGCAATAGATTTGCCAAAATTACATAAGCAAAAACAAATTTGCATACGAGAAACTCGTTAGTGTTTTCGAAATATGAAAAATTCTTTAGTTTTACATCAATAATCGCCCGTCGTGTCGTTTGATTTTTCAAAAAGAAAAATCTTATTTGCAAATTATAATGTATCGGGGCGATTAATTTTTATATATGTCACATACCAATCTTTGATTTAACTTGTTAAGATGTTTATGGAATCTCATGGAAGATTTTGTGCAGGCATTAATTTGGATTAATGGACCAATTTTTGGGTTCCACTCTTCTTTCTCCAATCTTTACTTTTTGCTTCCCGGGCGGTATTGAAAAACACGTTATAAGGATTGATGGGGATTGAGCTTAGCACCTGTCGAAAATAGGGTGATTTGTCGTAATTTGACTTGGAATTCTCGAATTAATTTATCTTATCATTGGAGTATTCGTAGAGAAATGTTTTAAAATTATAAAAAATAAATTGTTTGAATGTTGACCGGGTCGAGTTGAAATTAGAAATTTCCTCAAGCACCTTAGTTATTAAGGTTCGTGGGTCAGTGAAAAAAGCATAATATTATATAATTTGACTATTCAAACAACCATATTTAATTTATTTTTGTGGTGTTTTTTGATTATTAAGAAACATACGTGTTTTCCTTTGATTATACTCGATGTAATTTCGTGAGCCTGATGATTTATTGACATGAGAATCACACCTTACCAGCTACCACAAAATCACTTTTTTCGCTACCGTGAATAAAAAATGAAGGATTCAATATCACCGCGAGAAAACTTATGAAATTTCCCACTGGGGTTTGCCCCAGTAGCCACCTTTCCTACTTGGGAAGGTAGAGTTGGAGAGTTCGATTCCCCACCTTCTCGGGGGGCTAGGGGTGATGAAGTTTAGTTTCAGATGTGGATTTCGTTTTTCACGTTGTGCAAGAAGGCTGGGTAAAAGTCTGACAGTTAGTTAAGAATTAGAGTATAACAGACCAAAAAAAAAAAACTTATGAAATTAATTCCCTACCAAGATTACCATGTTCACGTGTGTTTTCGGGGGCGAATCGCAGAAAAAGCCTGTCGAAACCCCTGTTAGCATCCGTTTCAAACTTGCACATGCATGTGATTCGCGGAATCTCCGCGAGTTAAATGCCAGCGTCGCGGCCAATAGATTTCGAATCTGCTTCACTAGACGCAAAATGCACACGACCTTCTAACGTTTAGGGTCGAGCTTCACGTGATAACTGCTGGTCCGAATTTGCTGAAAACGAGATCTTTGATTGAAGTACACATCCGGCCCATTTCGAAAGCGGGCGATATCGGCGATAGCCGTTTCGAGATCGATCGGATCACGACGAGTTCGCCGTAAAGAGTGATGTAGATGAAAGATAGATCCACAAAAATTTCGCTTTTGTGCCTGGTTAGAGTTCCTGGAACTAAGACAAGCTACCTCTCATTGACAAGGGCCAGCGTACCCTCCCCAGCCAGCAATAATGGCGTGATGGTGTTATGGCCTTCATGCAAAGCAACACACTCACACATATAATACAAAGCAGAGGGACCCTCCTTTTCCCTTTGTTTCTTATTACAAATGGAAAAAGAATAGGGTTTGCATTAGGTGGCCAAACCTCGAAACCATTTACAGACAGAGACAACCTCAAACTATCACTGTGCCCGCCACAATTCGAAAATCTTCTGATCCTTAAACCCTCACAAAATGGCATAGGAATAGGCAGATCAAAGCATGTTTTCTTGAATTTTATTCAAAGAAGAGGCATAAGTTGCACTGTTTGTCACACCCTTCATAAATATCAGCTTGCTTTCATTTTAATGGAGAGACAGTTTTGCAGTTGAAGAAGAGAGGGAGACCCAGTTTAGTTTTAAGGTTCCTCTAAACTCTTGCTTGCTTGATAAACAAAGAGGGGGAACCAAAACCAGAGAGGGAAGTTAGGCCAACGGTTAGCTTTCTCTGATTCGCTTTAAATCAAAGAAAAGTTTTTTTTCTTTTCCCTTTGGGTATTCTACGGTTTGATTCTTGGTCACCATCTGAGACTCACCCAACTTCACCTTCCTGTCATCTTCTTCGCACCCAACATCACCCCTCTTCTGCTCCTGTATTCTGTTGCAGTTGCTGTCTATATACTCTTCTCATCTCGCACAGTTCATGTTCATTTTTCCTCACACCCACATATAGTTATCATCTTTCATTGAAGGATTGTGTTCTAAAGGGATAAGTTTTGGTGTTCCTAGTTGGCTTTTGGCGGACAGGAACTTGGAGCTGCTTGAATATCATGGTATTCATGTTTTAGCTCGCTGAAAGTTTTCTTAGAAGTCTATGTAACGCCGCAAATTCGAATTGGAACAAACGGCAATTTTGTCTACTGGTGTTCAGAGAGCAACTTTCATGATTGCAGGCGGTCCTATAAACATGGTGGAGATAGGCCTGTTCTTCTTGAAGTCTGTATTCGTAAGTAATTCTGTTTATGAAAAAAGAAAAAGGAATCTTATAGCTGTATGTGAGCAGAGGAGTATTGGCCTATCCTCGGTTTTCTGAAGCTTGTTTGTTTCCTCAATTCACTCAAGTCACGCCCGATGAATACTCGATACTTTTTCCCACCGGATTCATTATGCAGTTCTAGTGCCGGAGTTACGTTCTCTTCAAGTTCATCGGCCACAAATGATCGGACAGTGGTAGGGTCCCGGAACCGGGCTCCCCGCACTCCGCCTTCTTCATTTTTGGTGAGGATGGCTATGAGAATATCTCGAGCAAGATGGTTCACTTTCTTGAGGAGAGTTTTCCACTATCAGAATGGCTCGAGGTCAGATCTCGGGTCGAACCCATTCAATTCGAGCACCTGGATGGTGCTCGAGCTCATGGCCTTGATGGTCCAGATAAGCATAACTTCTTTCACCCTAGCCATCTCGAAGAGCGAGAAGCCAGTCTGGCCTATGAGGATATGGATCATGGGTTACGACATAGGGTGCATGCTCAGCGTGCTGCTGCTCTATGGTCGCTACAGGTATCTTTATTTGGCTCAGGGAGATGGCTTCGGCATCTCGGATTTGGAGCAACAAAGAGGCAGTGAAGACTCCAGGTACCTTTTCTCTTTTCTTTTTCATTCTTTTCATTTAGATTAGATGCTATAGACTGTCATAACCTGATGTTGCTCAGTGTGGACGATTGATGAATCATTTTGATTCTGAGACTCCTGGGGTGCACAAATGGTCTTGGTTTAATCTTACCCCTGGAAATTTGGATCAGGCATCAAAAGTAAATAAAAGTGAAATAATCTCTAGCTGTGGCAATGGATATCTTTGTCAACGTATCCAATTCATCACGCCTGGTTTAATCTTGGACTGCTAGCTCAAGTTCGTTTCTAGGTGTCCACCCAATTAAGTTTGAGATTTTGTTTGATCCAAATAGAACTAACTTGTAGGAAGATGCATTCTTCCGATATATAGACTGTCCCATAGATTATAAAGCGGATTCGAGATATCTTACAAAGTTAGTTTATGGTTTTCCATTCAAATTCTCATTGTGTAATGTCAATTTTGTTGGTGCAGGAGCTTGCATCTGATGAACAGATGTCGGACTTCGTTAGAGCTGTTCTTTGCGATATGGTTTGTGATGGGTAATGTTTGGGTGTTCGATTCTCGGTTTGGATCATTCCAACGCGCACCAAAGCTTCATGTGCTCTGTATCTCTCTGCTCGCTTGGAATGCCATCAGCTACTCTTTCCCATTCCTGCTATTTCTCCTGCTATGCTGCTTTGTGCCGCTCATGAGCACCTTCCTCGGATACAACATGAACATGGGTTCGGTTGAGAGAGGAGCATCTGACGATCAGATTTCTAGGCTACCTAGCTGGAAATATAAGCAAGTCGACAACAATTTAGAGCTCGGTGATGACTCAAACCACAATTCGGTCCTGGCAAATGAAGACAAAGTAAGTAGACTAACTATAGATTGTGTGCAAAATTACTGGTTCTATGCTTTGCGTTATCTTTTCAATTCTATTACATGGACATGCTATTCTTCGAAAGACAAAGTTTGGCCCCTTATAATGTATTTTGTGTGTCCTGTATATTTCACAGAATGCAGATCGTCACTCTTTTACCCATGAATGTTGTATTTCATTATCTGAAGAAATGTTTAATTCGAAGAGCGAGAAAACAATGAAGCGATAAGTACATTTGACAATTGGGCAAGTGTAGGTGTTCCAAACAAGGATACTTTGCGTATTATTCAACTCAACTACAGGGGTTTTGCACTCATTTTAAAATTTGAAGCGTTAAGTTGAATAAGACGTTCCTCAAGAATCAATATCGACTTATGCGATTCTGCAATTTCTTTCTCTCGCTGCAGGAATGCTGTATATGTCTGTCCAAGTACAAGGAGAAAGAAGATGTTCGGCAGCTGCCATGTTCACATATGTTCCACCAGAAGTGCGTCGATCAATGGCTGAGGATTACATCTTGCTGTCCTCTGTGTAAAAAAGAACTCGAGAGATAGGAACACGATCCTCGAGAGCTGGAATTCCTACTCCAACGTACCCGGTTTCTGTTTCTTCGGTCCGGCGTGATTCATAATTATGGAGGAGGTGGCTACTTGAGTGAGCTAGTTTGCTTGTATATTTCAAGCTCGCCAGTGACCACAAGCATACTCAAATTCGCATTCTTTTCTCTGTTTTACTTAAAATAGTAGAGGGTGATGCTTTGGGGTCTTTGCCTACAATTAGGACTTGGCAAGTCCTATTAGACCCCTGCGAATGAATATATTGACATGATGTATATGTTTTTGGTACAACAATAAACAAGTTTCTAAAGAAAAAAATATGAAACTATGCTGATATACTTGCAATGGGTCAAAGTCTCTAGCACATGATATTCTTCCTCCTTTTTAAAGAGTCCTATTTCAGCATCATCTTTCCTTGAAAGACCAGGCTCGTGATTTTAGTGGCCCTTTAAAGGTTCAAGCCCAAGAAAACTATAAATTGAATCCTACATGTCACTCATCCAGTCATCCTGTTTCTGTTGCTGGTTTGAAGCAACATAGAGACTTTCAAGGATGAACCTAGTCGGTCATTCTTAACGGAAGCGCAATGCCGTGTGGCACGCGCGTTTAGCAAACTCTCTTTAAGATAACACGCGTTTAGCAAACTCTCTTTAAGATAACAACCGGCACGGCTCGAGGACGGCAGTCCTAGATGGTGGGCCTCTCAGCCTATGAAAAGGTCTAGTATCGAAAAACCGGGCCTTTTTTTGGACCCCCCAAAAGGAAGAACGCGAAATATGCAGTAAAATTCTGGTTTTAGTTGCATCTGCCGATTATTCTGGTGCAACAAATGCGCAACGGCAGAGGCCAAAAAGAAGAATAAAAGAATAGGGGTAGTTAAAAGACCCTTGAAAGAGAGAACTGCAGAGGGGTTGATTGTTCATCAGTTTTGTCCACATTTTCTCACTCTCTCTCTCTCCAATCTTCTTTCAAGAGAAGAACAAAAGGGGGGGAAAAGCTATTCATTGCCATCAAATTCTTGCAATTTTGCTGCTACACCAGAGGGTACCTTCAATTGGTAGCTGCAAGAAACATTTCTGCTGATCGGAGATCAGATTTTCAGGTAAGCTGGTTTACTTTTGTTTGGTTTTTTTCTGGGAAAAAAAATTGGGATATAGACGCTGTTCCTAGGAATTCGCAATTAGTGAAGCATTTTAAGATCCAAATGTTTATGTTAGATCAGATCAGGCCCTGTCACAAGCCATCTTTTCAAGGATTTGAGTTAGTGATGAAATATTCACGATGTTGGTTTGTATGAATTAGCAATGGAACAGTAGCTAGACAGATTATGTACTTGATTACAGATAGCAAAAACTATGGCTGGGGGAGAGGTCCTCAAACCACCCAAGATTGAGGAAAAGCGTCCGGAGCGCAAGATATCGGTGCCGAGGATCACGATAGAGGAGATACGGAAGCATTCGCCGCTGATGCTGTCGCCGCGGGCGCAAGGCGATGGCTCGGGCAAGCCGTTGGGCGGTCGGATGAACTGCCTCTGCTCCCCCACGACCCACGCCGGTTCGTTCCGGTGCCGGTTCCACCGCAACACCGGCATCCCCCGAGGCCACTCCATTGGCTCGAACCTATCGGACTTGGCTGCCAAGTCGGGTGGCATCAGCGACTCCCTCCAGGCTCAGTAGCCTCCACGGATTGGCAGGACGGGCCAAGTTACGTCGATGAACCATCAATTTATCTGAGTTTTAGTAGGATATTTGTTTGGCGGTGCATCCCCCAACTCATGGTGTGTACTTCGCAAAATTGTGAAGGCAAATTTCCTTCAAGTTGCTACTACATGAATTAAGCTAATGTCAATTTCATTAACGGGGCCACTATTATCGGTCTCCTGGCAATTACCTCTATCTCTACAATAATGTAAATATCTGCTCTTACTATAATCTTGATACTTCTATCTCACTGCTGTTGGTTCAGGCCTATCTCGTTGGCTGACGATTCACCCTTCTCTTTCAAGTGCACATAGGGTGACTACTAATCCCTTTCTTCCATATAGCATATGCGCTGCAGCGCTAGTATCTTGCAATGTATTCGGGAGGTCATTTTCCACAGGATCAACGACACCTGTGGAACTTGCGGAATGGCAGTTCTGGAGTGCGGAAAGTGTGATTGTGGGGAGATAATCACATCATTCGACCTAGTAATCAGTAACATCCTGGAGAGCAAGATTGTTTATAATTCTCTGATGGATTTTATTTCACGCTGAGGTCCCAGTGATGTTCCTAAGATTTTGCAAATCCACGAGCGCTATAAGCTAAAAGGACCGAGACATCTGAAGGATACACAGAGAAGTCCTCGGCCAGGTAATATCCCATGTAACGCGTAGATCGAGGTAAGGACTCAACTAACCTGGCTAAAGGCAGAGCTATTACAACTATCTTCTCCTCCGCCTCTAAATATATGTACAATCATAGATGTAGGCAAGGGACGATAACAAGAAAGGTGAACACTGCAAAAAAACTCAAAACGGAGGATGAACCTCAACTCTTCGACTTTTTGGCATCATGTTGTTCTTGGCAAGCAATTTTTTTGGCTTGATCTTGAAAATTAGCGTCATTTTGTCGGCCTGGTCCAGGTTGTCTCTGAGGTGACCAAGTTTCCATAGTAAACCTGCTTTGAGGATTCGTCCCAATATGCCTGTAAAGACAATAGATAAGCAAATAGAACTGATAATTACAAGAAGCAAGGGAGAGAAGCAAATAAACACGAAAAATTAGGAAAACAAGTTCACTGTTCTCAACCAAAAGTAGTAAGAGACTCTTGAGACGAGTACAGATTCCCAGAAAAAAAGTGAGAAGATTAATTCATTCCATTACTTAAGCCCTAATGATTGATGAAATACCAAAGAAATAAATGTATTGGTAGTTCTAAAACTCATCACGAAAGTGAAATAAGTCCTAAAACTTTCAAAAAGTGCAAACGAATCCTAAAACTTATCAAATTGGTCAAATCAAGTCCTTGATTGTACTTTTTATAAATTTTAGGACTTGATTGCACTTTGATGACAAGTTTTAGGACTTGATTGCTCTTTTTGAAAGTTTTAGGACTCCGTATTGCACTTTTTGAAAGTTTTAGAACTCAATTGCACTTTCATGAGAATTTTTAGGACTTCTAGTGCACTTATCCCAAAACCAAACTAGTAACACCCAAATTCCAGACATAGAATGCTTCCTGCACCTCAAGATAAAGGTCAACGCCCCTCATTGGACTATATAGATAAATCAGAGCTGCTTATTAATCCCCGCCAACGGGTCCAACTCCTTACCATTACTTCCTAGCCAAACAATTAGAACCTACTGCAGAAAGATAGACCCAACAAACATACCTGCCATCCAGACGGCAGACTTCGACAAAGTTCTACAAGATCTGGTTGCTGGTTTCCGTCATTGGATTGCTCTTGATTCTGTACAGCTTCACTGGCAGCTTGAGCTCTCTTGCGCTTAACTCTCTCACGCCTGTGACAGAGCAACACAATTCATACTGAATCCAACTATGAGAAAAAATGCCAGCATCCTCCTTTTCATGACCTGGAGCTGCTATTTTCCATGCAATATCATCTCTAAAGAGGGGAAGTAAAGAAAGGAGGAAGTGGAGAGAGGGTTAAGAAATTATGAAACAATACCAATCACCCCCCAGTGGCTGAAAATTAGCATTCTCTTTGGCCTCTCCACTGGCAATTTGCTGGGCACGCCATTCCTGCAATTTAAAATATAATAAGGCCATCAGAAGAACAAAAGCACCATCACGTCTTTACGCAGAATCATCTGTATACCTCTATTTCCCTCTGACGCTTCTTCTCTAAAAGTGCAAGAGCAGTTTTAGCTTCATCTTCATCATCTTCCTGCAGCTCTTCTTTGGCAGCCTTCCACTGAGAACATTGACAAACAGACTCGGGAATAAGTGTCCAGAGAAGCATGCAAACCAACTTAGAGAACTACCAAATATGATACCTCAAAGAACAACCAAATATGATAAGAAAGTACCTTATCCACCAAACTGGAGACTTTCTTATTAGACCTCAAAGATGGAGCAACGGCAACAGTCCTTTTTTTACTACGCAAAACTGATCAATGGGAAAGAAAAATCTTGAGTCATGAATCTATCAAATGATCGCGTTATAACAAACTAGCCTCAGCCTCTAACCACTCGATGACTTTTGGGGGAGTTAGAATAAGAAAATTGAGCATTTTTCATAAAATATATAACGACAAGCAAAGAGAGTAACAAGAATTCACGAGATACTTAACAAAACATCAGGCGTGAAATTTAACGTGCCCAGCCAATAAAATGAGGGCTGGCCATAGAGTGTAGGCAGTAAAAATAGTAAAGTAATTCACACTCAGTATCTCATGCAATTCAATTTTCATCTTTTCTGAGAAATTACATAAATAAAAACGAGGCATTAACTATTCAAGCCTGACCTAAGTTAGGATCCAATGGAAATACCTTTTGACTGAACCTTTGAAATGGCTGATGAGGCAACAGGAGCTGCAGATGCAGCAGCAGTGTTTACTGATGGAACAGAAATATTATTTTTCTCTGATGTGGTTGCGGAAGCTTCTATGGCAGATGAAGTAGAGGGGACATCAGAAGTTTCATTTTCACTTCGACTGCCAACAACCGAAGATGCAACACCTGTTGACAATGGTATTGAGCTGGAACTTGTCTCTGCAAGGGTGTGAACAGATCCAAGCTCATCTGTGGTGGTGCTATAACTATAATTGAGAGAACTGGATTGGCCTTGAAATTGGGACGTATTCACTATACCAACACCAGGTACAGCTGGTACTGCTCCATCTTGGGCGCTGTAATATGCTATAGACTCAACAGGGGTAACAATGATAGAAGCAGTAGTGCTTGGAAGAGCTACATAGGAAACTGATCCATCCGGTAAAACAACTTGACATCCTTCAGCATGTCCATAGAAGTTATTGTTCATGACTCCATTTTGTCCATAATACTCATAATTAGTATTAGGATAAGCTAAGGGGTATTGCTCGATGTAGGAACTAGACTGCTCAACTTCCGTATAAGGTGCCGGTGGAGCATAAGATGGTTCGGGAGGCTCGTCTGGAGGAGGTGGAGGAATCTGTTCAGCATCTGGAGGTAGTGGGGGAATGAATTCCTCATCTGGGGGAGGTGGAATAAAATACTGATCCTCTGAGGTAACAGATGAGGGCTCAGGAGGTGGATCTAGTACAGATGACTTTTCTGGAACAACAGTACTTTCTACACCAATCATTCCAGTTATAGTGGTGCTCACAGGATCCATATCTTCTACTTCCATATCGACATCCATATCAACGTCTTCCCCACCGTTCATTGAAGCAGCAAGAATTGGTACATCAGAGATAAAACCGCTATTGACTAATTCACCATCTTCCATAGCACCTCCCAATTGTCTGATTTGCAACTGAGATGCAAAATGCTCATCATTTGTAACATGGTCGTGATTAACCGCACTAGGCTCCACGGCAGTGGATGCATCATTCAGAAAAGAAGCATCAGTTTGGGATGTCGAAAAACCTTCTTCGTTCTTGTTTCGATCTTTAAATTCGAGCTTCATGTTTTTCTCCAGCTTGCCGTCACTTGTTTCCTTAACTTCGTCATTTACCATTTGATAAACTTCATCAGTGGCAAGTTTTAGACGTTCAAGCTGCCTTTCAGAGTGCACCCAAAAGGGATGCAAAGCTACACCATATGACGAGAGTGACTTCATATCTGAGAGTCTAGTTTCAACTTCTATAACATACTTTAATATCCTCTCACGAACAAAATGAAGTCCCGTAGATCTGAAAATAGCGAAGGAAAATTTCACGATAATAAAGTAGAAAAACAAGGACATCCACCAAAATTTTAAAGTTTGGAGAGAGATTGAATGAAATTTAGAGATGATTCATTACCTTTCAAGTGACTTCAACTTTTCCAACAGATAATCACTTTGCTTGATGAGGTATGACCAATTATCAGTCCCCAAAGGATATTCTTTGCTACCTGATGAGTCATACGTGCAAGTATCAGAATAGCTCCAGCAAACTATTGATTGCACAAACGAGCATCACACACTGCTGAAATATATCTAGATTTACCTTTGTGGATGTCATCCCTGCAATATGTATAATTTAAATTCTCAACATTCTGCTCTTCAGTCATCTCATCCTTCCTAGACCTATATTCATCCAACTTCTGACTTTGAGAAGCTAAAAGTGCATCTTCAGAACCAGCACACTTGTCTCCGAAGAAAGCAGAATCCCCCTCTTTTCTGACAGTCTTATTCGAACTAGAATCTGACTCGTGACTGTCATGACCAGGATTATGGGCCGTCTCTGCAGAAGCATTGTATGTGTCTCCAGCAGAGTTCGTCATTTGAGACAAAACTTCAGGTACTTCCCATGATGTTTCCCCGGTGTCAACGTTCCAATAATAATACTGATTGGTCTCCTCATGCATTACTATCTTCCAACCTGAACTAACGTCCCCAACAACTTGAGCATCAAAAGTTTCTGCAACATTGATATGTTCACCTGCTTCTATTTCTTTTGGCAAATCATGCGAGGCACTCGTTTCACCTTCCTTAACATCACTTTCCTCTAACTTCAGCAAATCATGTAGAGATGGAGAATCTCTTCCAACCTCCTCCCTCACTTTTGCAGAATCTAATTCTTCGGTCAAGTTAGCTCCTGTGTCTTCACTTTGTTTACTAGTTGATGTTTCGACCTGCATAAACGAAGCTTTTGCATTAAAAAATCAGCCGTTTAAGACAGAGTCTTTTTTAACTCAAGAAATTGTATATGGTGTCTTCATTACAACGATGATTGGATTTTTCAAGAAATTGTATATGGTAGTGTTCATTACTACCAAAATCAGATCTTTACTCTCGAAAGGTAATCTTTTTATTTATAATTAACGATACTAAATATGGAAACAAAAAAGAGAAAACCAATTAAACAAGCAAACACTAATTATATAGCAAAAGTGTATTTTTAAAACTGATATTGTTCACTAATGCAACTCACACAGGCAGTAAAAGATGCAAAAGCTAGAGTATTTTTCACCTTTTGGCAGCTAAAACAAACAGCTGAACAACAACTATGACAGAGTCCTAACTTGCCTGGTCATTGTGAGCCACAGAACTCTCCCCAGGGGCATTAGAACTTCTCCTTGGTTCCTCCTCAATCTCATCATCACTATATTGGCCAAGTAACAGCAGAGGATTCTCTTGCTGTTGACCTGCTGACAACAAATTTTCATATCAGTAACTCTTAAAGCATGACTTCATGTGCTAGATTGAATCAGCACAGAAAGCTAGAGGAAATTTCCATGCCCCAAAACAAGGAATAAATCAACATGAAAATATGATAGAGAAAAGGCGCCAAGAGATGCAGCCATTAGGTCTGGCCGAAAGAATTAAATTCTCTTGTCATATCCACCTGTTACAGATTCATGAAACTTGTCAGTTGGTCATGATGCAAGTGAAGCCAGAGATATACGAACCGCTGTAGCTTTCCGACTGTCTCCAATTGCGCTGAGAAAAAGAGCACGAGAAATTGAGTCATGCAAAATTTCACAGTCACAGGGCCCTGATCTGATCTGACAGTGAATTTTCCAAGACCACGGCCACCTCAAAGTCTGAGAGCAAATACTTAGGGCCATAAAAATTCTAGTCTTGTATTGTCCACATTTCCACCAAATAATGTTGATCAGTCATGTTTCCCCTACATATTCCTTTGAAGAAAACTGCGGAACCCACCTGAAGAAGATGCTGAATTGGGTAACCCATCATGATGTGTTGAATTTACATCCACTTCAACTTCATCTTGTCCAGATGAGCCACCCAAATCTCCTGAATACAAGAAAATTCACACTTATAAATGTTCACTCATTTCGATTTCCAGTCAAACTAACTGCTATTTTGAAAAAAATACTAAATAAGCAAGCCCTAGTTATTATTTAAGTAAATGGAATTTATATAGCGGCCGAAAAGTTGCAGTGAAGGTAAAAGAATGAATGAGATTTACAATTAAGTAGTTCAAGAACAATTTCTAACGTTATGATGTTTTCCATGCAAAGTTTTACTTCCATAAAAGCAAAATCTTAAGGAAGATTCAACCTGGAATCTCTTCGCAGACCTGAAATGAATATCAAAAGGAAAAAGGATTTCAATTGCATAAAGCCATATCACTATTTATTCAAGCAAGGAAACCACATTATTCCTAATGCTGGACTGAAGGTGCCTTGAGAGAAACCTCTTTGCAAATGCATGCAGTCCACAATGGGCTCTCAAAGCCTTTTACCAAACACATGACTTTCTGTCAAAGATCTTTGTGGGTTGAAAGTCCATTGGCAAAGCTATGCCAGATGGACCCTATTACTGCATTGTATCCAAATTCGTTCCCAGAATAAATATCAGTAACAGGCATTCGAACATGTTATGCGGCAAAAAAAGAAAAAGAAAAAGAAAAAGAACTATCGAACGGAATCCCATATGAAAACGCATCTAACAGAATCCCTTTGTTTGTTACGCACCGCTATGGGAACTCATCCGACCATTTTGTGAAATACACATACAGCTAAATAATTTTCCCCTTCAACATCCATATACTGATCAAAGATGTGTCTGTGCACAGTTAGCTGGGCAGGACGCGAACAAAATTCTATTTTTAACAATATCCTAGCTCCGCAAGCAAAGCATATAGTTTTCTTTTTTACTTTCATTGGATATAGAACTTTTTATGAAATTTGCGCCAAGCACTAAGTGGCAGAAGCTACTCCCGCGAACCCCCTTCGTCCAACATTGCGTGCGCATCATGCAGAAAGAGAGGGAGACAGAGAGAGAGAGAGAGAGAGAGAGGAAACGCAAAGAAACAATCAATCAGAAAGCCAAGTCCTAACACAAAGAAACGATCAATCCGAAAGCCAAGCCCTAAAAGACCGAAAAACGGAGTAACTGAGCCTCTCCCGGCCAAGCTGAACTTCCCGCACGAGCTAACAACCCAACTCCAATCCAGAAACAATCAGCACAACAAGCCAAGCCCTAACGAAACCCACGAAAGCGAAACCCTCTCTAGCGACCGCCGCAAAACCAACTCTCGCGATCACACAACATCCACAAACGAAACCTCAACATACGCCACACACGTCCGCCGCGATCCCCCGCAGGCAGCTAAGCAAAACCATCGCACACGCAAGAGCGAAAAGACGGGAGCCGAGACGAGTCGCCGTATACCAGAGGGTTCCGCGAAGAGATCGAGCTTCACCCGGCGGCCGGCGTTGCTCTGAGCGGCCATCCGACGCTCCCTCCTCTTCCCCATCTCTCTCTCCCCCTCCCTCTCCCTCCCTCCCTCTCCCCCTCTCTCTCTCTCCCCTCCCGCTCAAAATTTCTCCGCGAATCGATCGGTCCGACGGAGTCACCGCCCCCGTCCTCGACGCGTCCGGTCGGTCCCTCCGGTGCGAGCTGCTCGGGAATCGGTGCGGCGATGGAAGACGAAGCTCGCGAGTGTCGACGAAGAAGAAGAAGAAGAGTCGCAGAGGAATTGGAAAGGAGAGGACCGGTGAGAACCCTCGTTGGATCATCGTCGGCTTGAGGGTTGTTGAACCCGGTCCGAGCCACGGGCGTGGGCCGAGTCCGTATTTGGGCCACCTATTGGGCCGGAGTTTCGCTGTCCGGCGTTCTACGGCCCAATTTCTCCTGCGTTGGCCCCGGCGGCCTTCCGTTGGGCCGGGCTGAGGACAACTTCACTAAATTCGAGCCGACGCGTAATGATCTGTTTGTATTGGATTTCATTTTATTTTTTTTACACTTTTTTTTCTTCTTAATTTAAATCTTCTTAATTTGAACTTTTTAAAACTGGCAAACAATTGAAAATCTCACGACGTACAAATATCAACACGAAGATTCATATTTTCGCACTTTTCTAAAATTTATGCAATATTTTAGATTTTGATGGAACGGCGAAATGTACTTTTTACTATTGTGGAATCATTAGCAAACGGACTTGTCCATTTCAGCAATTTCATAAAACTATGCAGAGAATTATTACATGCTCCGAGTCTCCACGAGCCTAGTGAATCTCAACGTGCTGAACAACGTGGCTCCCGCATGATCCAATAGGTTGATATCCACCGACAAAACAATATCTCGGCTCGCAGTTATCAATATCTCACTTACCATTTTCTCCAATTTTTGACTCTTTTTAATCGAACTTACTCAAATACCCAACTCAAGATCTCCGGTAGCTTAGAGATAAATCTAAAATTCGGTTTTGGTTAGATATGTCATGCACTCGAACTTTACTCGATCAGGTACTTATTACTTCCTAGATCGCAATGTACTTCTAAATATTTTAGAAGTGCACGCAAACGACATCTCGGTAAGTCTCGGGACACACGATAGTCCGAGGGCGGTCGAATGGAATCCTCAAACGTCGCCGAGCTTGAGATCAACAATGATGAGATTCGATATTCAACCCGTTTCTAGTCAATGTGAAATTATTTATATCCAAAGCATTCACCGAGTGAAAATCGAGCAATATGCTAGTCGCTTTCGACATGAACTGTGTTAAATCACAAACGTTAAAAGATGACAAAGCCAAAGTTCGATTTGGCCGAATGAGACTTCGCATCTTTTTGCTGAGGCATGCAAAGAAATTGATCTTTAATCCTCAAAGGTCCCTTTTTGACGTTGAATTTTCCTTTCGTTTTTTCTCCTTTCTGGCCGGTCTTACACGTTTGATTTGACCGCCAAAGAGATTAATTAGAAAAAAGGGATAAATGGGGAGACCAAAATGCTGGAATTAGGGAGGGACAAGGACAGCAACATTGAGGCCGTGGGACATTGATTTGACGTTGTTTAAGAAAAGTGTCAAGATGATGAAGCGTGAGCCTAATCAAAGAACAAAAGACTTGATTACAAGGACCCAGAGAAGGGTTTGATTGAAAGGGCACACAAAACTCCAAGTTGGCAATTAAGAAAGGGAAATTTGGAAAGTGGAAAGCAAATGGCAAAAGCCAGAAGCCAAGATGGGGTCTTTGCTTTGCTCAATGGAAATTAGATAAATGACTAGAAAAGTGGTCACACCATGAGACAATTTTTTTTTTTCCATTTGCAATTTGGCTTCCTGTTCGATGGATGATCCGGCGACCTTATGATTAAGTTCCGCGCGCTTGGCTAAATCTGTCTGTTTCGACCCGGTCGGAGATTCAGTCGTCCCTGCGGGGTTTAGGAGATCTGCCGCGAAATAGTGATTGCGATTTCTTCATGTGAGAGATTGAATGAATAGTCTTATACTAATTAAGTCTGTGAATTAGAATAAATTGGAGAAGAATCCGGGAACATGTGATGAGAGAGATGACAAGCCAAAGGGCCACGTTTGTGGTTGTGGGTTGACATCTAAATGAGCATTGTTTAAATTAACAAAGGGGATTATCAAATGGGGTATGAAAGAGTGCTTGTAGGGTTCTTCATGTTGTGGTGCGTCTGTTGACTCTCCAGGCAGCACATGAATTTTGCCCGGAAAGTACTCTCAGAGAAACTTCCCACGTTCTGGTTATCACCTATAGGCAGTAATAGCTAAAACAGATTCCCTAAGTTGGCGTTTATTGGATGAACATTTACGCCCGGAAGACGCCGGAAGGAGTTTGCCGAGCGCTGATCAAGTAGTTCTATCTTGCCCGTCGAGAAGGGTGGAAGGTCATCGGTTTTTGGTTTCTATTCGGAGTCGCGGTCGATTCATCATCGCAAATCCTAACTGAATTGTTGCCTGCCTCTGACGGGACTGAAGAGGTGAACCTAATCTGATGCGCGAGAGGCGATACCGCTGGATCGTTGTGCCGAACAGAAACATAAGTTGGGATGAGTAAACAATTCTGAGTTGGTGGGACATTGTCTCTTCCACTCCAAGGCTGGGTTTAATCTAATATTCTCTTGGCTTTCTTGTAGTCTTTTGTGGCCAAAAGCTACTAGACAGCATTATCAGATCTGAATCCTATATATCTAGCAATGTCTGAAAGACTCTAAGACATCATATTCCTTCCTTGCACATGCACTTCACCACTCCATTTGATTCCACATGCAGACACATACTCCCCACATAAACAAACTGAAGCTGATCTGCATTATTGCTCTAAAACAATTACTAAATGTGAACTTTAGCCCTTCACTCCAAACGGTGACTCGTCAGATCTGTAAACTCCATCTTTCCCCAATAAAACAATGTGAACATTCGAAAGGTCTCCCCTAGTGAGACCCAGTTCGCGATTCCGTGACTTGATCGCGTTCCTTCCCTTTCTTCTGTCTGATTCTACTGCTCCAATTCAATTTCCCAGCTGCAGATAACAGCACGCTTTGGCGAGATCCATCTCGAGTCGTACCAGGTTATGGATCGCTTCGGACTGTGTCTGTTTAAGTAAACATGATACAACTGTTGGTGGGTCATTTTGAAAGCTTGTTATCAGCTAGAGCACTAGGAGAGTGTTCTATAATCAAACCGTTCCATTCAAACATGCCTTACCAATCAAGCTCGTTGGATGTAAACCGACTCAGCAGAATGACTTTAACGCGATAGGAAAACTTAGTGTGGCGAGATGAGACGATCATACGAGGAAACAAGATGTAATGACCAAGCAGTATCGAAGTTGCTTGCCCGAAAGTTACTCAACATATTTAAAAATCACAGATGATTATACAATGAAGCAGGGCATAATGAGCGAGCGGTTTCGAAGTTGCTCTCTTGAGGAAAGCTACTCGACATATAAAAATAGGCAGAGCGGTGAGAAATTGAAGCGGACAGTAATTCCATTAACCTTCTTCTAATTCCTTCACATTCGTAGAAAAACAAAAGGAGAGACAGATTTAAAGAAGGGCAAACAACGCATCTTCATCACCATCTCCATAATAAACAATTTCACCATCTAGTATTGTATTCGGAAAAGGAAGGCGCTCCCGATCCAGATCCTCTGGTTTTCTTTTATAAACAAAACATGGGGTTTCGCCCTCAACAATCCCAAAGCAGATCGACTGTTCTTCTTCCGCAGCAATGCCTGCAACTCTAAGGAATCTCCTGCTCTTTCCAAATACCTTCTCCTTCACTTTCGCCTTGCTTCTGTCGATAAACTGCCACCTTTTCTCATACTGCGAATGTATCGATATTCAGGGTCAGGCTCTTTTAACATGGAAGAAAAGCCTGAACAGCTCTGCAGATGCATTAGGATCATGGAATCCCCTAGACCCGACACCGTGCAAATGGTTCGGAATACGTTGCGACTTGAATGGCGCGGTAATCGAAGTGAGCTTGAGATCAGTGGATCTGCAAGGCTCATTGCCTTTCAATTTCCAATCTCTCAAGTCCTTGAAGAGCCTTGTCCTCTCGTCGACGAACCTGACAGGCACAATTCCAAAAGAGTTTGGGGAATATCAGGAGCTCAGTCTCATTGACCTCAGCGACAATTCCCTCTCAGGTGAAATACCAGAAGAAATATGCAGGCTGAGCAAGCTACAAACTCTATCTCTCAACACAAACTTGCTCGAAGGCAAAATGCCCAATGCAATCGGAAACCTTTCTAGTCTCACCTATCTGACGCTCTACGACAATCAACTTAGCAGCGAGATACCGAGAAGCATTGGAGCGCTGAGCAAGTTAGAAGTCTTTCGGGCAGGGGGGAATAAGAATTTCCGGGGCGAGCTGCCTTTGGAGATTGGGAATTGCACCAACTTGGTCATGCTAGGATTCGCCGAAACCAGCCTTTCCGGAAGTCTTCCTAAATCAATCGGGTCCTTGCGAAGGCTTCAAACTCTAGCCATATACACGGCTTTATTGTCGGGCCCCATTCCCGAAGAGATAGGGAACTGCAGCCAGTTGCAGAACCTGTACCTGTATCAAAACTTGCTCTCTGGTCCAATCCCGCGGCAAATTGGGCAGCTAAGAAAGCTCCAGAGCCTCCTTGCGTGGCAGAATAGCTTAGCTGGTGCAATCCCTTACGAGCTTGGAAGCTGCACGGAGATCATGGTTATGGATCTGTCCGAGAATCTTTTAACCGGAAGCATCCCCAGAAGTTTTGGAAACCTTCTAAAACTTCAAGAATTGCAGCTGAGTGTCAACCAGTTATCCGGTACCATACCATCGGAAATGATGAACTGTACTGCGCTGACTCATCTGGAGATTGATAACAACAACCTCTCGGGCAGCATTCCCTCTCTTATCGGCAATTTGAGGAGCTTGACTATTCTCTTTGCATGGCAGAACACACTCACGGGCATCATTCCAGATAGCCTATCCGACTGCCAAGGTCTTCAGGCTCTCGATCTTTCTTACAACAATCTATCTGGTCCAATACCGAAACAGATATTCGGACTAAGGAATCTTACCAAGCTGCTGCTAATCTCCAACCACTTATCCGGTTTCATACCGCCTGATATCGGAAATTGCACGGCTATGTATCGCCTGCGGCTGAAGGGCAACAGGTTTGCGGGCCCCATACCAGCGGAAATTGGAAAACTGAAGAGCTTGGATTTCCTTGATCTGAGTAACAACCAACTTACAGGAGGAATCCCTCCGTCGATTTCGGGATGTGGAAACCTCGAGTTCATCGATCTCCATTCAAATGGGCTCACAGGTCCCATGCCAGATACGCTACCTAGGAGCCTAAGGTTTGTGGACGTCTCCGACAATCAGCTAAGTGGTCCGCTGACTCAAGAGATTGGATCGCTGACTGAATTAACGAAACTCAATCTCCGAAAGAATCAACTCTCCGGCAGAATTCCAGCGGAGATTCTGTCTTGCAGTAAGCTTCAAATGCTTGATCTTGGAAGCAACAGCTTCTCAGATGGCATTCCGAAGGAGCTGGGCTTAATTCCGTCGCTGGAAATTTCTCTGAATCTTAGCTGCAATCAGTTCTCCGGCAAGATTCCGTCCCAGTTTTCCAGTCTTACTAAGCTAGCAGTCCTTGACCTCTCACATAACAAGCTACAGGGCGACCTGAACGCCCTCGCAAGCCTCCAAAATCTGGTTTCACTCAACATCTCTTTCAACGATTTCTCCGGTGAATTACCAGACACCCCATATTTCAGAAATCTTCCCTTTAGTGATCTTGCTGGCAATAAAGGTCTCCACATCACTGGTGAGCCTGCAAACACAGATGGCCACGTCGAATCTGAGAACGGTGCAAGATCTGCTGCAAAGTTAGTGATGCTAATCCTCGCGAATACTATTGCTGTGCTGCTTCTGCTAGGAATCTACGTGCTGGTCCGCGCTCACACTAACAGACCCTTGGGAGATGAAACTTGGGAGATGACTCTCTACCAAAAACTCGATTTCTCCATTGATGACATTGTCAAGAGTCTAACAACATCCACCGTCATCGGCACTGGGAGTTCTGGAGTAGTATACAGAGTGACGATTCCTAATGGAGAAACACTTGCGGTGAAGAAAATGTGGGCACAAGAACAGTCAGGAGCATTCGGTTCAGAGATTCAGACTCTAGGTTCTATCCGACACAAGAACATCGTTCGGCTTCTGGGTTGGGGATCGAGCCAGAACATAAAACTGCTGTTTTATGACTACCTTCCGAATGGAAGCTTGAGTTCCCTCCTCCACGGTGCGGGGAAGGGAGGAGCAGAGTGGGAGACTAGATATGATATAGTGTTAGGAATAGCACATGCACTTGAGTATTTGCACCATGGTTGTGTCCCGGCGATCCTGCATGGAGATGTGAAAGCTATGAACATCCTGTTGGGTCCTCGATACGAACCTTACCTTGCTGATTTCGGATTGGCTCAAGTTTTGAATGGTGATGGTGATGATATCTCCAAACAGGGTCATAGACCTCGCCTCGCTGGTTCTTACGGATACATGGCTCCAGGTAGATATCTCGATGATTCCATCTCAATTTCAAAGTCGCTTAATTGTAGTACTTCCACTGAAGTATAACTCATTTATATTCTTTTGGTGATACAGAGCATGCGTCCCTGCAGCCGATTACTGAGAAGAGCGATGTATACAGCTTCGGAGTGGTTCTTCTTGAGGTATTAACTGGAAGGCACCCACTGGATCCTTCTTTCCCCGGGGGAGCTCCGTTGGTACAATGGGTTCAGGACCACGTAGCAAGGAAGGGGGACCCGGTGGATGTTCTTGATCCGAAGCTCAGAGGAAGGCCTGACACGGTTTTGCACGAAATGCTGCAGACACTGTCTATATCTTTAATGTGTGTAAATACCAAGACCGATGATCGTCTGGTGATGAAAGATGTCGTTACTCTGCTGAAGGCAATTCGACATGTAGAGTCCGTACGGCCAGGATCTGATGTGACGAAAGGAGGTCTATCAGTCGCTCGCTCATCGCCTCCTTTGAGGCATGTTGTCACCCAAGAATCTTCAAACTGCTCATTCGCTTTCTCTGATGATTCAGTGTAACAGGAAATCGGTCAGGGTTCAATTATCAGCTAACCCCGGGTCACGGGCAGAGTCTTGCGAAAGAATATGTACAGCTGCCGTATTTTCGTGATTTGATTGTTGTCACACGATGCCAAGTGTTACTCTAGGGTTTAAGTATCGACATATTGTGTAGTTTTGCATTCCACGCAGTATATTAAGGATCATCAAATAGTGAATGTAAAGGAACTTGTAAGGTTTTGTAATAAAGTAGAGCTATCTCTAGGGTTGACTTGTCTTAGTGTACTTGAGCTTATGATTGGCGTTCTTGGATCACGCAACTAGTAATCAATGCAACATGTACTCTCTCTCTCTCTCTCTCTCTCTCTCTCTCTCTCTCTCTCTCTCTCTCTGTAGACATTCCAGCCTTGCTCACATGGTCTCAAATCACGTGTCCATGTGCTGCACAAAGACAGACTTTTCATGGCAAAAGGTCCTGAAAACTTGTCAACACCAACTTACAGGATTTGTCCGCTCCAATTTTCATCGCATGTTCTCAAAGGAATTAGCAAAAATTAGGCTGGCCAAGATCATTGAATTTTCAGGACTCCTGTAGATAATCCATCACACAACAACTTTGACGGATCACGTTTTTATACAGATATATCTGGAAATGTCACAAATTTACACAGGCATGATTTTCCCGAGAAAGAAAAAAGACTAGAAGGCCATGCTCACTGGAGAAGGATCTTGTGTAGACATTGTAAAAATGTCAACGATAAACAAAGATATAGTGCTTTCTACAACTGCACATCGATGAACTAAAATACAGAACATAAGATGAGGAGAGAAAAAACCAACTCACTCAGATATTGTTCGTCACTGTAACGTCACATTGAACTTCCCAAGTGGACAATGTCACTTGCGTCCTGTAACAAGGCTTGCACGGTTATGTTATTTACTGAAGCAAGAGGAAGCCTTGGGTTGCCTTTGTGATGCAATATTGGCAGAATGAACAGCTTGAGTGACTTCACAGTGCCATTGTGCGACCAGTAATCCATGTCAGTGAATTGCATTTTGCCCTCCGACATTTAAGATGATGCCAATGACATTATTTCAATGGCAGCAGAGGACTATCACGAAATCAATGTCCACCAAAACAGATGCTGGTCCTTCTAGGAAGAATTGCATCAGAAGGTCGATTTTATTTCTTCTCAAGCCTGTGATTCTAACTTTCTTAGGACGACGTTTATAACACCCCAATTGAACCCACGGTACTGAAGCCACCTGACAATCCTTGATTTCCGCGTATCAACGGGCACACCCTGACTTCGGAGCCACTGCTTTGAGGCCTGAGAAAATAAGTGATCCAGTGCCACCTTTGACAGACCGAGTCTTGACTCCTGCTCAAAGCTAGAATCACACTCCTCAAAAACCAGTTTTACGGCTTTCTCAGCATCAAATTTGCTGACTCCCTTCTTGAATAGCTCCTGAACCAGAAACAACAATGCATCAAAATTTCAGCATGCTGCAGGAAACCAAACAAACGTGCACATTTCATTGGCTTTCTCAATGCATGATGAATAAAAATCTAATGAAGCTCCTTAAGCTCCTACGTACATATGCAGATCTTCTAAACATAGATTTGCTAAAAGCAACAACTCATGGATGGTAAATATAGGTGAAATGCCACCAGTAGTCCCTCTACTTTTTGCCCAAAATTTGTAACCATCTATCTACTATTTTGTTTCAAAATGTCGGCTCGAACTCATGGCATACATAGCCACTTGCCACTAGAACTCGTGGCGTCCATGGCTGCAACTTGACTTCACCGCATCCATTGCCGCGATCCACTTGAGCTCGAGCTCAAGGCATCTACGGCTATTCAAGCTCAAATAGCTGCTGAAGCTCGTGGTATCCATGGCCGCTGAAGCTCAAGCTAGCGATCATGACCACCAGATCCGAGCAGAACAGCAATGAGCGGCACCATCAACATCAGTGAGGTTGTCCAAGCTGCAGGGGCAATGACTAGGGTGGGGAAGGGCGGCGGCCAACGGTGGGGAGGGTTTGGATGTGGATGATCTAAGGTTAAGGTTCTGTTTAATTTTTTATTTTTTAGCGCCACATAAAAACTGAGCGTATGAAAACACGACATGTGTACACTCCTAAGGTCCATGTGAACAATTCAACGGTCCACATCAGCAAAAATCAATCGGGAATAGAAAAGGTATAACAGAAGAACTAGGGGTGGAACATTTTAAAAAGTAGAGAATGGTTATGAACTTAAAAAAAACAGAACGAAGGTTTTGAACTTCGGGCAGGAGGCTAGCGTCAATAACTAAAACTCAAGGCCAAACAACAAAACAATCAGGATGCTAAAAGCTTGGAAATAGGAAAGAAAGTGAATATAGGCAGTCACAAACAGCATCATTTAAAGATTTTGACTCATGATCTTGCATTCAAAACTACACAAAAGAAAGGAACAATTGAAAGATGCATGCAATCTACATACTTGCTTTATTCTCCTAGGACCCCAGCAGGACGAAGACCATCTAGATCGAGAATACGTCTCAGCATAAAGACCATCATTGATGAACCCTCTGCAATAGATTGAAAGGCAAAAGAAATGCCAAACCATGTTAAATGCAGATCTCACTTGACTGTAAATGTCTATGAATATAGTGGGAAGCAAAGTATGGTTCTTCATCTAATATAAATTTATTTGCTTATGCCAAAGTGATATAGCCTTATGTCAGCTATTGTCATACATCTAAGGATCGTAGTAAAATGCTCATAATCGGCTGCACTCTCCTCCAAGGAAGTAATGTCCTGACTGATGTTATTCAACGTAAACTAATTACTGACAAATCATTCCAAGTTTTCAATCTGAGGATAAACCATGCCATATCATCAACGATGAACACACATCAATCGAAAAGGACATTATGATGCTTGTTTTCGAATAATACTTACCACGAAGGAATCACAGATTTACCAAAAAATGGAAATGGGACACAAAAATATCATCAGTGTAAATGCAGTAGCTCACACTGAATGCTCCAGTTTTTTGCTGGCAGAAAAGCAGAGATGCATCTTCCCACAATCAATCAACTTCTAGAATTTTTAAACTAGTACAACTTGACAGGAGACCTAATCGGATTATAAAGGTCCTGTTTGGACAACAAACTGAAGGAGCGGCTTCTTTGTTCTTTTAGGCTCTGTTCGTTTCGCGGAAAATGTTATGTTTGTGGAAAATGTTTTCCCATAAGTCATTTTCCTGGAAAATGACACAATTTTCCGGTGTTCGGCTGAAATCTAAAAAAGTTCTGGAAAATATTTTTTAATTTTCCCGGAAGTCATTAAAAATATTTTTCTTTTTTCTTTTTCTTTTTCTTTTTTTTTTTTCCTTCTTCTTTTTCCTCATTCTTCTTCTTCCTAAGCCAGTCGCTAGCCAAGGCGGCGGCCGGCAACCGGCCAGCTCGAGCCTTGCCATAGGCCGGCGAGGCTCGAGCTCGCCAGATTCCGGCGAGGCTCCGGCTCGCCTGATCCGGCGCGGGCAAGCTCGGGCTTCACCAGATCCGGCGAGGTGGGCGAGGCTCGAGCTCGCCCGAGGTCGCCAGAGCCTTGCCAACGTCTGGCGACCTCAGGCAAGGCTCGAGCCTCACCCAGCTCGCCAGATCTGGCGAGGCACGAGCTCGGGCGAGGTCGACAGTTCCGGCGAGCTCGAGCCTCGCTAGATCCGGCGAGCCTCGCCACAGGCCGGTGAGGCTTGACCTGGCCGGAATCTGGCGAGAGCTCGAGCCTCGCCAGCCTGTGGCAAGGCTCGAGCTGGCAGGTTGCCGTCGTGGCCAGCGACTGGCTGAGGAAGAAGAAGGAAAAAAAAAGAAAAAGAAAATATTGAAAATAAATGTTGAAAGAAGAAGGAGGAGGAGGAAAGAGGAAATCATTTTCCTCAAAAGTGAAGGCATTTTGTCCATAGGAAGGAAAATGTTGTCCATTGGAATTATTTTTTGTGAAACGAACACCGGAAAATCCAGAAAATGTTTTCCTGGAAGTTATTTTCCGTGAAACAAACGGAGCCTTAGATTTTGTTCCTGCATTTGTTAATCAGTATGATTCTAAATAATCCCAAAATGGAAATAAATTATTGATGAGCGCATGTTCATATATGATGCCAGAACTACCTTACAACATAGTGTCCCATCCCCCCAAACCCCCCTACCCCCACTAGGCCCCAAACAAAAAAGAAAAGAAAAAAAATGTAATTATAGTAAACAAAATGTGGCCAGCCCCTCAATGGGGATGCTCTTCTTGCATATCATTTACTAACCTGCTCTTGAAATCATTCACCACAGCTTCAACAATAGCAGGAGGAAATCTCTTCCCTTGCAATTTCTTTGTCATTGCCACTGCTGTATATGCCCTGTAGCAAGAACCTGGAATTAAAACTGAAACCTCTAGATTTTTTCTGTGGCATAAGCCATGAGGAGATACTACTGCCACTAGCTTAGACGTTAACTAAAGAAGTGTTTTTTCAATTCCTTTGGTCGTTTTTTTCACAAGTCAGCAATGTCGGTGGCATTGATGTGCTAAGGGAAGTTAATCATATTCAAGAATCCACAACAATCTTACAAAAGCCAAGAGCCAGTTGCCTTAGCGGCATCTGCCTCCAACAGGGAGGGGTCATGGATTTGAACCTTGGACATCGAGTTGCAGTGGGGGAAAAGCGATATCTATCGAAACTGCTCACCCATCATCTTACTTATGGGGGAAAAATCAACGATTTGGTAGCAACTCTTTGAGTAGCCAACAAGGATTTATCTGATTTCCTGTATCATCTCTTCAGCTCATTGGCCTGGAAATTAATAACTGGCCCTACAGCCTAGCCAGCCTAATAGTTAGCTTCCAACTTACTACTGCCGCAACAACTAAGACTGGAATTTACAATGAACTGAAGGTACAAATCTATTCATAAGTAACATAAGATTTAATCAAAACCTGGTAGCGAGCAATTGAAAGGCCAAATTTTCAGCATCTTCTCTAGATTTGCCACCTCTTAGCACACTGCCAACATTACTGTTATCCCCTTGACGAATTTCAATCTCGTCAACATCTGCTTCTATTCCTTCAATAAAGTCATCATTGATCTCAATGGCATCCTCAATGGTTTCTTCCCCCAACCCTACAATCAAGTAACATCCAGTAAAACTTGATAAGAGAACAGATGTACTGATGTAACGTGAGAGCTGATTCTCATTGTAACAATCTGCAGACTCATCTTCAAAAATCATATACCGGCACACCTTAGCAAGCAAGCACACAACCACACAAGCACAGATGCACCCGAGCTCACACAGATGTGCCATCATGCTTGGCGGGCACAGTTCATGCAAGCACGGTACAGACATGCGGCAAGAGGTGGAACAGCTGAAAATGCAATAAACTAAAAGAAGATGCGATACTACAATCCAATTATTAATCCCTGCAAATTCAAAACCCAATTTTCACGAACTGAAGAAATGCAGAGGATCGTACCAAGATAGAAACAACCCTTCATGGCCATTACACTATCCTCAAGAAAACCGAGTATTAAGCACAATCTCATAACCTCAACATTACATCCAAATATAATTTGATCCATTCCTACCGGGCGCAGCATCAATAACATCGATGATTGGCATCCGCTTGTCTATGGGTCTCCGAATCTCCGCACACACTAAATCATTCACGATCACTTCTCCTTTACCTTCACGGTAAACCCGATACCTCATCGCATCGGCATTCGACATGCTCTGAGCTTCACTCATCTCTGGACTCTTGGCCGGTGGAGTCTCGGGTTTCTCATGGCTGTTAGCCCTGTTCCTTTTCGAAGGTACTTTGGGCACGTACCTGACAGGAACAGAAGAACCGAGGTCCCTCCTTCCCAAACACCGGATTGCATCACACTTCCTTACCCTAGAAACCCAACAACAAAAAAAAAAAACCCTCAATATCCTAGTGTTGAAGCTGCCTTCAGAACAATATCCTATGAAGTTCGAGCCGATTAAGGAGAAATCGCTCACCATGGGATGGAGACGACCCTGGTCTGAAGCTGATGTGCCATCTTGAGGGAGAGATTTCCGGGAAAAGCCGCCATTTTCGTTCAAATTTGCAGAGGAATCAACAGACCCAGAAGAAGAAGAAGAAGAATACACAAGTTGGATGCTTACAGCCGCTTCGCTTCCGTCAAGAGACTCCGCCCACTGACAGGCCCAATTAAGTCCGATGAAGGGTTAAAGAGGTTCCATGAACATTTGCTCAATATGCAATGCGATCTGTACAATATTATTTCTTAATTTTTAATTTATTCAATGCGATTCTTGAACTTTTGTACCTATTCAATTTATTCTTTGGACTGTATAAAAATGTTCAATTGTGTTCTTCCATTAAGTCAAGTTTAAGGACAACATTGAACATTTTTACATAGTCCAAGGACTAAATCGAAGATGCACCAAAAATTCAGGGACCACATTGAACAAATTAAAAGTTCGGGAACAACATTGTACATTTAGTTAAAGTTCAATGACCAAATCGAAAAAATTTAAAGTTCAATTGTCACATTGTACATTGGTTTGGGGATCGTTTGTGTCATTTGCTTTTGGAAATCCTAATATCCAATTGACATAGCGGTCCGACCATGTCGAAATATTTTATCCATGTCATGCTCTAATATTAAATACACTGATTAGATTTTTTCATACAGGTCCACGTCGAACATCCGCATTATATGTTGGCATCATTTGCCAAGGAAGCCGATTTGGTCAGATGTCAGTGGATTTGATTAGAAAATTTGTGAAAGCAAAAGCACTTGATTAAATAAATTTGATTAAATAAATATAGGGACAAGAAGTAAATATCCCCCAAAAATAAGAAAGAAACATTGATATTGTCATTAGAACTAGATGGATCCTTTTTTATTCGGTTTTCTATTACCCTTTTGTGGGTAAATAGGTAAAAGGCTTTCCTTTGATCGAATTCCCTACAACAATTAAAGGGATAAGTACTTTATAAGTCCTAAAACTTATTATGAAAGTACAAGCAATCAAGTCCTAAAGCTTGTCAAATTAGTCCAATCAAGTCATTATGTTGATTTACCGTTTTGAAGTTTTCTGACTTAATTGCACTTTTTGAAAATTTTAGGACTTAATTGCATTTTATGACAAGGTTCAGGACATAATTGCATTTTTTTAAAATTTTAGGATTCAATTACACTTTCTTAATAAGTATTAATCCATAATCCGATATGTAGACTATTATAGAGGATTAATTCTTACAAAAATGGTAAGACCAACATGTTTGCAACCCATTGATAGTAAGAATTAATTATGTATAGAGGATGCTATTAATATCGAGTATTAATCTCGAATCTTGAATATTGCATAGACTACTCGTACATATCATACATTAAATAGAAAAGTGAGAAAACACACTTAAAATCTCATTAATGAATGCTACGATGACTAAAATGTTTACAAATAAGTAGCGTACGGACTATAATTTTGACACATTAGTGCATGTACACGTGTGAGCCACGTGTCAAAAACTAATGCTGACTGATCATTCCGGGAAAATTTCGTAAGGAAATTTGACGGAAGGACTTAAAAATGCCGCTCAAGAATAATACGAGGACTAGAATTGCAACCAAATAAAATATAATGATCAAAAAGTGAATACCCTCGATACTACAAGGACCAAAAAATGTAAATTTACCTCTTTTTTTGTTTCTTTTTGGTTCTTTATGGGGTGCACGTAGATCCAGACAATCGGCCTCGCACCATTTTGAAAAAAAAAAAATTTTAAAAAATGCTGTGCGATCTTATCATATGGTGGATGTGCTTATAAGTGATGTGATGTAAAAGGAGTAGTTGGAATATATTTTTTGCAAAATTTAATGTTACTAGTATTATGTCTTAATGTGATTTATATAGTCTATTTTTTCGATTCGCAAATAGAGTCTCGGATCATCCGATCTACTATAGTGGTGACGATCTACACGTTCTAAAGAAAAAAGACTCTCGCCCTACTAAAAGATACTTTCCCTACCCTTTCTGGCATTGCTTGCAAGTTTTTAATTCATTTAGGATTAATATCACGAAAAACCCCAAACTGGTACACTAGTGATAATTTTACTCAAAACTAATTTTTTGATCACCAAAAACCCACAACTAGTACACTTGTGACAAATTTATCCCCCGTTAATTTCCATTAAATTATACTGTCAAATTTTTGAGTTGGATGACACGTGACAGTTGACGGGTGTAACAGTTTGGGGTTTTACTCTCTGTTTGTCATAGGTGTACAAGTTTATGGTTTTTCCTGATATTAATCCAATTTAACGGAGGGGTAAATTTGTCATAAATATACCAGTTTTGGATTTTTTGTGGTCAAAAAATTAGTTTGTGATAAATTTATTACAAGTGTACCAATCTGGGGTTTTTGGTAGTTAAAAACTTAGTTTGAGATAAATTTATCACAAATGTACCAGTTTGGGATTTTTCGTGCTATTAACTCTTTTCTTTATGCGACGCCTTTAATTCGATCGACCATCGTGGTTGGTTCATGGTTGATGTTGCTTGTGTTGGGTCATTTTGCTCTGATCTCGTGGAAATCGCAAAATATGTGCAACTCGTGAGTGATCCTTCCCCTTTCACTGTTCTTGAGAATCGTGGATCTTTTGGCTGAGTAGTGTTTTTTTAATGCTTTTTTGGCGCCGAAAGTTCGAGCATTTATGCAAATTTTTTTAACGAAAGTCCTTTTATGCAAATAGTGTTTGCATTTCGTAAAAATCCTTTGGCTTGGTGGGTTCGTTTGACAAAAAATGATCGTCTATATCGTTTAGAAAAATTAATCAACAAAAAATATTTTCTTTATCAATAACAATCTTTACCTAACTATCATGGGCAATGAAAAAATTTTCCATTTATTTATTTTTGTAAACGATATAAGCGATTATTTTTCGGAAAATATTTTCCAAATCACTCATTTTCTGCGAAACGAATGCACTCTAAGAGAAAATAGCGTTTACCAAACAATATTGCAATCTCATCACATCTCTCTAATCTAAAGTCATTTGCATTTTTTATAAAAGGTATTTTCCAAGAGCCGAAGTAGTCGCAGCCTTAATCTTCACTTAACCAATCATGGCATGCAAAGTGTCGCAACCATCTCAGAAGTGAACAAGGGAAAATTAATGAATTACTAAGCCCAAAAACTTACTGTCACGACTTTTGGGTTATGATTTAATCAATGTAACATGCAAACCAATTCAATTGAGAGTCTCTGTTAATCTAATATGGGCCGATTAGAAACTCAAGCAATGTGCGAGAGAATACTTCATTTCTGCAAACCAAAGATTTTATGGAGACGTGAACTTTGTTACGGTAGATAATTTAACGCCCTTTCGATATATTTGAGCTTGACTCGATCACAGTTAACTAATAAACAAAACTCGAGCTCCGATTTTATAACCCTGAATATTATGTGACTTAAGCATTTTTGCATCTATTTTTCTAATTATTATATATTACAAAAATTTAATGAAAGCTCAATTGAACTCGATTAAGCTTACAAGCTTGAGCTCCACTTGACAAAATACTCACGTAGCTCAAACTCGAATTCGACCCAACAATATACTCAAGTAGCTTGAACTCGAGCTCGACTCAAAATTAAGAGAGTCAATCTCAAGTAGTCATCAAGTCAACTTGAGCCAAGCCCAAGCTACTCGCGAATAGAGCTTGACCTCATTCCACCCTTAGTATTATCTTCAATCAGAAACATCTCCTTACATGCCATTGCAAAATTTTCGCAAGTACCCTTTTGTAAAATGATTGAAATAACTGAGTTAAGGTTTCTGAATAAATAGTTTTTACCTTTTATACACACAAATTGGCGCCTTATCCATATTGACCATTTTCACCAATTTACGACGCACCTATATATATTTTTTGTCTTTACTGCTCTAACTTTTAACTCACTCTCAGATTTTAACGATGTCTCTTTGTAGAGCGAGTCGAAACCCACATCCAAACTACATGTCCCCACCCCTAGTGGGGAATCGAATTTCCGACCTCCCCCATTTCAAGTAGAAAGGATGACTACTAGAGCAAATCTCAATGGTTCGACGCACCTGATGTTAGTTAATTATGTGACCCAACATTAATTTAACACAACACATGTACATATATTTCAACAGGTAAATATATGTCGTAAAATATTAATTTTAATTGAAACATCGCCGAATGTGCACGATCTTGTATCACTTTCAACAAATATGTCATAATCCCATTAGATGGAACTTTTCCATAAACAAAAAATTTTGCAAAATTGACGACGCTATGTCTTAATCAATGAATATTTTCATCACAAATCTCATATTCTCGACATTTTTACGACGGATTGTCGTGACACAGTAAAATCCTTAAAAAGAAAAAAGAAAGTAAAAGAGGGAACAAGCATCTGCCGATTAACAAATGTAAGGCCCGGTACATCGTGGTAGCCTAGAAGTCCTCACCATTGCAGTTGTGACCAGTTACGGCTGCCCAAACTATCCATGTGGGATGGTAAGGGCATTGAATGGAACGGAGACGTATAGGGTGCGTATGGTAACGTTTCTATTTCTAGGAACAATTTCTTTTCAGAAATAGTTTTTTCTATTTCTATTTCCTGGAAGAGTTTTTGAGTAAAATAATGCGTTTGGTAACTGCACAAAATTTCTATTTTTAGAACAGAAATGTGTTTGGTAACTGCACAAAATTTCTATTCTTGGAATAGAAAAAGAACAAAAATGCGTTTGGTAACTACACAAAATTTCTATTCCCAATTTTTTGCATTCAAATCTATATCTTTTATTTAACTATAAGTACAAGTTATAAGTGAAAAAAATCAATAAGCATGATTTATTGGTTTGTCTAATCCTTTTTAGGGGTTTAAAACCACTTTTAATCCCTAAACTAAGGAATCTTCAAAAATACCACTTGAGCACCTCAAAAATTTAAATTTCGCTCAAAGTGAGTGGCCACAGGTATTCTAAGTCATTATGTAAATTTTTTTATATTTTTTGGGGTAAAATTTATTAAAATTTTTTACTTTCCCTAAATCTGTTTCTTTTTATTTTTCCGAAAATTTTTTATGAAATTTTTTTAATTTTTTCAATTTCGGAATTTTGCAAATATTTAAGGGTTTTCTGAGTTTTTCTGATTTTTATGGATTTTCTGAGAATTTTTCTGATTTATAT